TTTTTTTACAGTTAAGAATAGTAAATCTTTATGTTTTAGATATTAATGGAGCAGGCTTGGTTACCTCCACGCTTGGTGTGGTTAGGTACATTAAAAATAACTGAAAATGAAGTATTTTCACAGGCACCCAGGCACACTGTCAATTTACAACAGAATGAAAGCACAACTTTGAAAAGATGCACTGTATTTTCCTTGTGATAAGAATAATAATAACAATAATAGACATACTAAGTCACACTGAAATCCAACATAAATTAGAAAGCCAGCTTATCTGGACACGAAGACAAGAAAAATATCATGGTTTATTTCATTATCTTAAATATGTTGTTCAAAAAATGCTTATCTACCCTAAAGATCAGGAGTAATATTACATGCCAAACCTCAATAATATATTCCTATGTCTATATAATCTTGAAAAACAATCTATTTCAGACTGTGTGTGTATGTGTCGAAAGGGCACTGAGTTAGGCAGACTTGAGTTCAAAACCTAACTTATCACTGGCTGCCTTGAGAGCATGTCATGTAACATCTCTGAATCTGTTTCCTCATCTATGAATTGAGCATGATAACCCCTGCATCTCACGGTTCTTGTGAAGATTAAAAATATATGACAAATATAAGTCGCACAGTATACCACGTAACATATATTTTGTCAGTGTCATGCCCATTCATACCCTATTATTCTGTCTAATATCTTGCAAACAGTCACAGGGGAGGTAAAGTAAAAGAGAATGATCAATAATCTAAAATTCAGTTCTAAACCTTAAAAAGCATTCGAAGGGCAGATGCCCACGCAGAAGTTAACATCAGCACACAGCGTATCATCCTATACCTTATTGTGCAATACAAATTAGGAAAAAACAGAGTCGTGAAACCAATGTTATTCCAGTAAAGGATGTGCAGAGCCATAAAGAATTAGCAAATCAAAACTTGTTTTTTAGAATAGCAAATAAAGGCACAGGTTAGAACCTCTTTAACTTGGACCTGTCTTCTTTGGCTGTATAATGAAGGCAATGGGCTGTATGCTAAAAAGGGTTGCTATACCCAGAAGTCTGTAATTCTAATATAATGGGTTCAATGTCCCTTTACTTATATTTAAACCTACTTACTTACTCTGCTGTTTACAAAAAAGCCATACCACACTTGTGAGTTCTACTACAACAGTAAGTCTGTTTTAAAACACACACACACACACACACACACAGATACACACAGTTAAATCATTCTACCCCCCAAATGCCTTCAAGGGGAGAGCAGTTATTTTTCACACTGTAACCATGAACGCAAACTGTTACAGACAGAAATTAATTCAGGATGCTGACCATTTGAATTTTCTCTGTGATACAAAAACTACCCATTGGATTCATTTTTTTCCTCACTGAATTTACTAAATTGATGTATCACTTGGGTGTGATGTGGATATAGGTTAACTAATCTGTATGAACGTTAAAAAATGTTTGTCTTCTTCAAAAATGACCATGACAGGGATGTAGTGTGTTTTACTGCTGCTCTTAATTGTTCAAACGCCCATTCATCTGGCAATCGTTAATAAACACTGAACACCTAAGTAAAACTAAACAGTTACGGGTGGGGGTGGGGTTGGGGGAAGCTCAACTTTTAAACTAAGAGAGGAAGATGTAGTATCCATCATGGACTCACTGTAAATACATGTAACAGATGTGACCAGAGCTGTTCTTGAATATAGATCATTTTAGTGGCCCAACTTTAAAACTACTTTTTAAAAAGATGCCAAAACCAGTACGTTTACCCTTTGCTCATAAAAGACTCAAAGGTAACAAAAGACACTGTATTTTTTGTTAGAACAGAAAACTAAGCCCCGTTCATTGATAAAGATTCTAGGTGCTTGTCTGCCTTTTCTTTTAGTCACTTGGCCATATTCTGTTTTAATAAGAATAATTTTCCAATCATCCAGGCATGCTTATGCTTTTAGTTTGTTTTAAGAGCAATGATATAACGGATATTAAATCCCTTTGTATAAGTTACCATATAGGTTACAACTATTTCTTAAAAATAATTCCAGAGCCCACCAATTCATTCTGTTAAGGTCATCGAGGCTCTGAACCATCATGGCTGAATTGTTTTAGTGCTCTCTGCTGAACACCTGCAAACATCAAACAAAAACTGCAGGTCCTTTCCTGGGTTGACAAAAGCCTTTCATGTGAAAAATGCTCCCTGGGAATGTCAGGCTGTAGCTCAGGTTACATTCCATTCTCCCTAGCAGCCTCACCATTTCTTAAGGTGGTAGGAAAACCCATGTTTGTGAAATGAAAAGATTAAAGGGAATATGGCCACACTTTCATTCCCACATTGCAAATCACTATGGAGCATCCTCTATTAATCGATTCAAAAGCTATTGGGAACTTTCAGCATGAAATATCACCGTGCCTCACTTTGAAGAAATAGAGCTGGTTTAGCAAAGATGAACACAGTTCACTTACTTACAGTTTGGATCTTTGTGTCTCAGACCCAAGGTCCAAAGCTACCCATGAAAGTGACACCTAAGCCCACTCAAGACAATGGGTATTAACCTACAGTCAATTTAGAAAATTATGTCTCTGTCCAAAGTTTCCTAGTTCTTCCTACAGTTAAAGGGCAAAATGCAGTCTTCCTGATTTTTCTACCTGATAGTCTTTAAAAGGGATTAATCTTTGTTGTGGAGTGGAAATACATGCCATTTTTTTCACTAATAGCCCTGTGTTCAAATGTCTAGAAAAGATGAGAAAAACCAACATTACACTCTGTACTCCATATATTATCATCACCATCATACTTCACTAGATGAGCATCCTGCATTTTCAATTCAGCTGCCACCACAAAATAGCCACTACACTTTTTTACCTTTCCAAGTAAACATTTGGGTCTGAAAGCTACAACTGTGGTTCAAAGTAACTCAAAGGTCAACACCTTAAAGATAATCACAGCATATTCATTAGAAATACCATAGCATGTGTTACTAAGGATGAAGTCTCTGTCTGGGTTTACGCGCGGGTGTGTGTGTGTGTGTGTCTGTGTGTGTGTGTGTGTGTGCATGCGCACATATGTGTGTGTATGTATTTGTCTTAAGAATTGTATAAGTTCAACACACAATCACTTACTAAAATGCATTAATACATATTCATACTTATCCAGCCTGTACTCTCTGTAAACACTGAAACATCATAGCAAGGGCTTGGTTTAAATGTGAACACAGATGTACAGTTGTCTTTTTAAATGTAACACAATTTCATGCTTCTAAATCACTTTACTTTATGAAACCATACCTAAACTGATACACTTAAGTTATTCCAAATGTGTCCATTTTCACAGAGTGCAAAAGAGTGTTTTGCACTTTGAAAGCAGTCTATCTCTGGGCTCTTCTGACATAATCTACTTTTAGATTTAAGCTGAATTCACATTTTCTTAAGTAAAACCATGAGGAGAATTGCTGTCAGAGATAAAGTTAGTTACTGTTTTGATACTAACGTCAAAAATTAATCTGTCTACAAGAGATACCTGCACTGATCTTTACTTCAAAGTTGTGTAGAGAACACAACACCAAAATTTGGAAGACAAATACCAATACAACAACAACAACAACAACAACAACAACAAAAACAACAAAATGTTAAGTCTCTAAATGGAAAATGTAACAGGGTCCAGGCCAGTAAAATACAAATATAAAGTCAGAAGTCCTTTTAATCAATGTGGACCCCCAAACTGAAAAGAGAAAACTATAGGAGGCATTTTATATTTTATAATTTTATAAATCAAAATATAGACATATAACTTAGCCTACTGGGGGCCAGAAGAAGGAGAAGTAACTTCTTTGGAAATGAGCAACTTTCAAAAGCCACTAATTTTATAAAAGCATCCAAATTACACAAATCACAAAGGTGAACAGATTGCTTTCAATGCCAGAACATCAGAGGAAAATTAAGAGATGTGAACGATATTCAATAGTTAACAGAAAATTCCACTGGAACCTCGCAGCTAAAAGATGTCAGCATTTACCAGCCTGACTTAAGAATGGTACTCTGTCTAATGTACTGGTATTTACCACTGCCAGAACTCCTAAAATACTACAGCTGTTTAAAAAGCATAAGTGGATTTAAGCTTTAAGCTTAAAGGATAGCAGGTAACCATGGATGTCTCCTTCCTATATGAAATTCACTGCACAAAACAAAAACAAACCATTTTTAAGTAGTATCATATATTCAGTTTTCACTTTATAAGAGACCTTCATGGAGTCCCCTACTAAAACTCTTCCTTAGATGCCAGATAATCATTGCACACACAGATTCCTTTGTGAATGGTGCTAACATCTTTTTTAAGCATCACCCAAAGACCTTTCATTTATAAAATATAAAAGTCCTTGCGAATTTGCAACTTTAAATATAGCAAAAATTCACTGCACGAGGAAATGCTTAGAGGACAAAAAATAACTAAAGCACCAAAAAGAAGGCTTTAAAGAGAAATGAATTCATATTTAGCTTTCAGATTAGCAAGAGGCTCTCTATTTAGAGCTATGGTTTACAATGCAGCATTCATCTGCTAAATAAGTGCTCACTTCTTTAAAAGGGTTAATTATACATGGTATGTAATAATTAATATTATTTACAAGGGATGTTCCCTTTTTTTTGAAGGTTAGATTTTTCCTTCTATTTTCAAATAGGGAAATAAATTCATTTTCCCCATGTCGACACTGGCCTTATCTTCACATGTTTGATTACAACTGTATTAGAAAATTGCTCTTAAATTAAGTAATGGAATTCTGAGACAATTTCCCTGATTGATAAAAAAAAAAGGGGGCCTAATTTTAATCCTGCAAGAGATAACATTTTGTGTAAGTTATACCACTAATGGATAATGAAATAACCATATCATTACAGGCTAAAATTTCAATGACTTTTTCAGACCACTTCAACAGAGCCAAAAATATACAATGAGTGAATAAACAGCTAAGAACATTTAACTACATGCTAAGAAAAGAATTTACATACTTGAGCCAGTAAAATGTCCACTCGCCAAAGAGGTTGGTCCATTTTTCCCACTGCTCACAGGAGGTGAAAACATCTAAAAGAAACAAAGAAATATTACTGTGGAAAAGAAGACATTTGTGCCTTCAGAGTTCGTCAAAGATCTTTCATACTCTTACCAAATAGCCTAAGAGTTTACATTAAGGCTTCATTTTAGTAAAATACATCACCATCCAACTTAAAACTAAAACAAGCATAACATGATCAGTCACCCCCCCACCACCACCACTTTACCACTCTTGTTCTTTCCTTTTCCTCAGGTTCACTAGATTGCCAGCACTAGGCAGTGCTGCTACACTTTCAACAAACAGTCCCCATAGTGTTACCAAGATTCAGGTTGGAGGGCAGCGGCCTCTCCAGAAAACACTAGTTTGACAAAGGAGAAGAAAAAAGTTGTTTGCTTTAAACTGAAAACCTTGGCCATAAACGTGTCAACGTCCATGTCCATCCCGTATAGGATTTGCCTGTCATATGTGAACCCAAATAAATATGAAAGTGCCACCTGCTCTAAATTCTCATTTCGTCTCTAACATGAGAGCAATTTGTAGCAAGACTCTCTCTCTCTCTCTCTCACTCTTTCCACTCTCTCTCTCTCTCTCCCTCTCTCACTCTCTCTCTCTCTCTCTCCAGCATTTATTTCGACCCTAATTGGTTTCCCTCTTCTTCGACGTATCTAGTGGATAATGCGCACCTTCCCTGAGTCAGAGCCTGCAAAAAGCAAAGGAACGAATGGAGAAAGTGCAGCAAGCAGAAAGGGGCTACAAAGCTGCCTAGGGCTACGTTTCCTGGCAAAACTTCCGAAAGCCATTTCTCCAGAAGAAGGTCCAGCAGCAGCAGCAGCGGCAACAGCGGCAGCGGCAGCAGCAGCGGCAGCAGCAGCGGCAGCAGCAGCAGCAGCAGCGCAGCGGAGGCGGCGGCGGCGGCGGCAGCAGCGGCAGCGGCAGCAGCAGCAGCAGCAGCAGCAGCAGCGGCGGCGGCAACAGCGGCAGCAGCGGCAGCAACATGAAAGAGCCCCACTTAGAAGGCGGTTTGGATTTTATTTGTGTGTTTTGTGGATTCTTTTTATTTTGCTTTGCAAATGCATCTTACACCAAACTCATCTGGCATTAAAAATGAATGCATTCCCCTGACAGGTCTGGGACTTGATTGGGGAAAGGGAAGTAAAGGGATGGAGAAGGACGAACTACAGCCGTAAAACTCCTCAAGTGTGTAAGTTTTGCTTTGTGCTGAGCTCACGACTGTGAAATTTACCCACCCAGTCTACAGGGCTGCGGAGACTGTACGCCCCGCACACACGTGCGCGTTTTCAGAATCCGAGAAAGAAACGTTAACTCAGAGGACGACAGGTCCTATGTATCCGAGGCATCATCAATTTAAAACTTTAAGAGACAACTGGGTCTCCTATTTGCTCCTTTCCATTTCCAGAAAAAAAATAAAATAAAATAAAAGGAGTAGTGCGAAAAGTATCAGTAATCTCATGTTCGGGTAAGGCCAAGTTTTAGGGTTGTCTGTTTGTCCTTTCATTTGGGGTGAGATTCCATTATTTTGAGGGTCCGGTGGGTAGGGAATTCAAGTAATTACACTCTGGAAAAAAAAGAAAAGCCTGAATCGTCCATCACACCCAAAAATTGTAGTTCAAAACTTATCAAAAAGACCTTCATGTCTGCCAAAGATTCAGCCAATTAAAAATTATTCCTGTCCTTTTGATTACTATTGGTTTCTAGCTGAAGTGTCTGGGTTTTTGGTTTTGTTTTTTGTTTTTTTTTTTTTCACAGCTGTTGTTAGTTTCCACCGTTCTTTCTTACCGCACTGAAATCCAGTAAATCACTCAGCTCTTTGTCCGTCCCTAAGGCAGCCATTCGCTGTTGGTGATGCATTTTAGCAAAATCACACAAACCTAGAAACATGGAAATAACCGCAATCAGAAAATCCAGTCCCAATCCTTGGAGAAAACACAATCGGATTTTTGGAGACTGGGGGGGTTGGGGGTGGGGATGTGGGGGCGGGCGGGATTAAGGTGGAAAGGGGGGAGGGATGGGAGAGTTGTTTTTTTTTTTTTAAGATGGAATAGGCAGCAATAGCAAAAAAAAAAAAAAAAGCGATATTGATATTGTATTTCCAAAGAGACGATCAAAACTGGTAACATCCACTATAAAACCAAATCCGGGAAAGGAAAAAAAAAAAAAAAGCCGCTCTTCAGCGCATCATTTTATGCAACAGGAGGTAGAGCGAGAAATGAATGGATCACAGAGAAAAGAGAAACTACTCAGAACGATCCGGTCTCAACTTTCCCCCCCACCCTCCACCCCACCCCCCTCACACACACACTCGCACACACACGCACGCACACACTCACACACACCACTCCCCTCTGCATTTCAAAGTAGCTATAAAGAAATTAAAGATGAGCGTCTCTGGAGTGAAAACACGTCCAAAGGGGGAGGGGTGACAGGGTCGGCGAAAGGGGGGGAGCAGCGTGGAGGGGTCGGGTCCTCTAATTGTCCAGCACCCTAATTTGTGAAAGAAAGGGTTGTAGGAATTAAAGTCAGGCCCTTGGCAAAGTCCTCGGTCCCTCGGAGTGGCATTGCCGGGGAGGGGGGGGCGGGGGGGGAGAGATGAGGGGGAGGGAAGAGGCGCGGGAGAGGAAGGGGTGTCTCTTCTGGGAGCGCCGGGAGCCGGGAGCCCGCGGCACGGGAGGCGCGGAGCCGCGCGCGGGGCCGCCGAGCCCCAGCCCCGCGCCGCCCGGCGCTCCAGCCCCGCCGGCGCCGGTACCTACCGCCCGCGCGCGAGAAGGGGCTCTCCGTGCACCGCCGGCGCCGAGGCGGCGTTCATGTCTAACCGCCGCCTGCACCGCCGCCGCCTCCGCCTGCGCCCGCGCCCGCTCCTTCCCCGCCGCCGCCGCCGCCGCCGCCGCCGCCGCCGCCACTACAGATCCGCAGACACACAGCCAAGATCCCTGACTCTTAACACCAACTCTCTTCTCCGGGGAGGGGAGGGGACGAGGGAAGGGGGGAGGGGGAAACACGCCGAGGCGCACGGAATTGCAAGTTCAGCAAAGAAATGGGTGGGGGGGCTCCGGCGGGGAGACGCGGCTCACTCGGGTCGGGCTGGCTGGGATGCACCCCCCCCAGAAAAAAAAAAAAATCTCAACACCTCCCCCGCCTCGCAAAAAAATACAAACGAAAATGCATCGAGCACCTCATTTTCCCTCAGATCGTCAGTTACAATCTGAAGCCTGAACAGTTCAGTTTTTGCCCGTTTCATCCATCGGAGGCACTTTGAGATTTATTCGAGTTTACATCCCCTCACTTCTTTCTTTCTCTGACTCTGGTTCCCTCTCACTCACACATCCACACACAGCAAAGCAAGTTTATACTAGGCTGCAAATACACGTGATGCAAAAAGACTTTGCCAAGAGGAACAATATTTTTCTTTTCCATATATAAACCAAGCCACGTTCTGCTGGGGAGATTTTCATTTCGGTAGTTTTGCATTGGGGGCGAAACCTAAATTGTATACTTTCTTTCCCCTTCCTTTTAACACACAGATTAGTATAGCTGCAAACTTCGCCAAAAAAAAAAAAAAAAGGCAATTTTTGAGGGTGGATGTTGTTTTGTTTTTACACTTGAGTTCCTAGCCACGCTAAGTCCCCGTTCGCCAGCACTTACAAGTTTTGAATTCAACATTTACCATTACAGGCCTTGCATGCTCTTAAAACATACTTTTTCACATCACTTTTTAGGATAAAAATTAAGCTTCATAATTCTATCGTTTCGTAATAACAAGCGTGCTTTATCCAGTATATGCAACATACGCTATTTTAACGTGTGTTAAAAGACACATTCCAGAAACCCTGTTATTGCTAGATGTGCTAGTACATACACAAAATGCATGCACACACTTTTTCCCATTGGCAATTATTTAATAGACTGTTCCTTTTGTTTTAATAAAACATTGGGATCGACATTTTAAAAATGAAATTCAATTACAAACAGTTTACTCTGACAGCAAATTGTAACGTTACCTTAAATGGCCACAAATATGCTCACAATATTCCAAGGAAAGTGACTTTAAAAAGAAAGACAAAAATCTTCTGCAAGTACTTAGTATCTCACATGTGTATCCCCCAAAAAAGTATTTTAACTGGTACTCAGTTCTGCTCCAGGGATATCCACAGAATACAAGATTATGCACCTGGTTCTGGTTTTTGCATTTTCCACCATAAAACTGCAACAAAATCCCCTCCCCCAAAAAAGAAATCATTAAAAAAAAAATCCAACAACTTTTTCTTATTGTTTATAAAAAAAAATATCAACACAGGATAGTTAGGATTTTTCCTCAAACAAATCTTGTTGGTGGGTTTTTTTCTTCTCCTCTTATAAAGTCTTAAACTTGTTCCAAGTTTAGAGGTGTCTCATCATCATCATCCTCCTCCTCCTCATCATCATCACCATTGACTCCCCCGTGGAGTCACATTGATAATAATAGGTTTCCCTGAAAGATACATTGTAATCCATTCACATCCGGGCACTGCGGGCTTATAAAGAGAAGGCGCTGCGGCCGCGGCTGCTCCTCCAGACAATGACTGGGGAGGGGCGGGGCGGGAGCGGGTGATCATAGAGTAGTAAACAGAGCGCCTAGAGAGGCGCCCAAGATGGCGGCGCGTGCGGGCCACGCCTCCTCCGGGAGCGGAGGCGGGTGGCTGGGCTCGCTCGGGTGTCGCGCTTGGGGCCAAATTGCAAGGACTCATTGAGTTGGTACCGTTCCCAGGCCCCGTGTTCCTGCGCGCTTCTTCTTGTTCCCTTGACCTGGTCTTTCCTGGGTTTTTGTTGTTGTTGTTTTTACTGAGAAGTGTAGTTTCAAAATAAATTAAGGCTTTACACGCCGCACATTTGAGCAGGGGAGTCAGATCCCCTGGCTCACCCTGAGGGAGGCTGGCCTCAGCCACAGAAAGCCAGAACTCAGATTCTCCCGCAGTGTGGAGCCAGTCCTCTTAGCTAGGCTTAAGCAGCCTAGGAAAAGGCCGCTGTACCAAGTTGTAGATTCCCGGGCTTGAGGAGGGATGAGGGTCCTCTCCACCACCACTCCATGCACCCCCCCAACCCCCCAAACCCCCCTTTTTTTTGGACCCTGGAAGAGTGAGAACTTACTAAGTCCAGAAAGCCTTCACTTGGAGAAGTGTTTAGGTTACAGCGTCATTGACAAATCGAGTTTGTGCCATGAACCACTACTGACTCAACTTCTAGTTCTGGCCAAGCAATTACCTTCTGCAGCCTGCTTTCTGGTCCCTGACATGCAAATCGTGATCACTTTACGAATTTCCTGAGTTAAAGGGATAAAGATGGAGCCACCAGAGAAGAAAATTTCCCTTTCCATCTCTAATTCCAGCTAACCCAACTGATACCGCTCATCTAGCCCACGGAGTTTTAAATGGAGATTTCTCTATTCTACCAGTGTTATTAGTACTCCCACTGGAGAAAAGAGAGTAATAACCATGATACGTTAACATTTACATAGTGGGTTTACAACGTGCCAAACACTGTTCTAAGAATTTCTCAGGTACTGGCTGCTCTAATCCTGAGAATGACTCTATGTTTTACAGCATTGTTATGTTTGTATATATTTATATTATGTATTTTATATTTTACACACAGAAAATCAGAAACAAGCAATGTTGAGTAGCTTGAGCAGGGACACTTTGGAAAATGATACAAACTTGCCTGAAATTACACAATTTTATTAAGTGATAGCACCCACCTTTGAAGGTAGGCAGTCTAAGGATCAGAGCTGCCATTCAACCACATTCCTATACCATCTGGCAGCAGGAATTGCCCATTCTCTATTTTCTGATGCAATCTTGTGACGGTAAGAGAGTTCAGATCAATTTTCAAGATCTTTTGTTTATATGTAAGCTCTCAGAAAACAAGAATTAGAACATTTGTAGGTTGTTTCTTGTCTGTTCATACATTGTGAAATTCCTGTTTTCTGTCCCCATTCCATGTTCTCATCTTAAAAGAAAGTTTACATGTAGACATTATTTGATGCTGCATTATTACAAGCATTACCTGTGAGTCTCAGAGTAAGCCTCTACAGGGCTGTACTGAGATGATGTAATAAAAAGTTCACAAACATTTGTTCAGGAGAAATATTCCACTGGTACCTCTAATCAGCTCTGGGACCTAAGGCTTGAGGTCAGTGCATTTTACTGTAAAATACAGAGGCTAGATTAGATAATCCCTTAAGATTCTTTCTAGTTTCTAGTTAGATTTTAAGGGTCTCCCTTTCCTGAATTTCAAGGGGAATAAATGATCTGTCCGGAAACAAATGAAGGGATCAGGTTGGGAACCTCACTGCACCCAACTGATTGCTAGCACTTTTCTTTAACCGCACCCCACAGTCAGAAAACCATGCAATCACCTTTCCTATCTTAAATTAAGGGACAATGTGGATTGCGTTTTGTTTTGTTTTGTTTTTTTCCCTGAACTATCAGAAGAATAGGTATATCTATGATGTTATACTTATGAAGATTGGAGACACCTTAGTAAGAAAGACTCCATAGAAGTTTGTGAAACGTGGATAAAAAGGTCAGTGTAGCAGATATGTTTTGGGTTGTCTGCTACATTCTTTGGACTCCGTTCCTTAAAAAGCCTGTCCTTAAGTCGTTACGCAGAGGTAGAACTTGATGTGGGTACCATATGACCTTCCTGTCCCAGCCTCATGAGCCCCAGCTAATCGGATCACAGGAACTGAAAGAGGAGTAGTCTATGATGAGTGATAGATCTGACTGGTTGGAGTCAGCTGGCCAGAGTGCCAGGAAGCCAAGCCATGTGAGCCATGGTTGTGGGGAAACAAGAACCATGAGTAAGCAGAGGAAGCTGCCCTTTAGATAAGAAAGATCTTGGAAATTCTGAGAAAAGTAGACAATTGACTCCTGGGAAGAAATAAGTTTATTCCCATTTATTATAAAGGCCACCTTGCCTCCTATCCATAAGACTGCTGACCCCTGCAGTATTTCCCTTCCCTATGTGAGCTAACCTGAGGACTTTTCTGATTCTTGCAGCTAAAATCTTCAGGAAAAAAAAAAAGATTCTTTTAATTTCATCATGTCAAAACAGTCCTTAACGTTAAAAATAATAAGAAGAAGTAGTGACCACTCTTCTAGGGAGTAAATACTATTCCGCTCCCACATGGTAGGGATTCTATCCAATTAATTGTGCCACATACAGTCAGGACAGTATATACAAGTGTCATTCCCCTTTCTACTGTGCTGTGACCTTGGGCAAATTTCACATCTTGTCAGATGTAAAAAAAAAAAAATTAACTTGTCTTCCATACTTTACATGACCAGTTAAAATCAAATGAGTTGATAGAGATTAAAGTACTCTGAAAAATGACAAATTCTTATGAAATGTAAGGTATCATTATTGCATAAACGAAGTTGATGCCCAAAAATAACACTTATTTCCTAGAAATATGGAAGGAGTGGTGAATATTGAAACCCAATGAGTCATAGAAAAGAACAGACATTGAAGGGTGCTTGGACCAAATCCTAGAGTCTGGTTCAAGATGTCAAGATTCAAGTGGGATGACTTGTCCAAGGCCACATCACTAATGAGTTACAGAGGCAGTAGTAGCCCTCCAGTAACTAAAAGCCACTTTAGAAAGCCATACCATTCTCCTTCAAATTTCATCCAGTTTAATCTCCCCAAATCCTTCCCGTGTTAAAATAAATAAGCAGACAAAACCACAAACAAAAATAACAGTTTCTTGATGATCTAATGAAATTCATCCAAAAATTCAGCCAATAATTTTTGAGTGTTTACTTTGGGTCAGCATCTTTTCTTTGAGGCCCTAAGGCAAAAACACAGGTAAAAATATCAGAATGAATGATGAAGT